CTATCACTGATAAAAAAATCAGCTCGTTTGCTCGAACCGTAATAGAGATATTCAATTTTTTTTGGGTAAAGTGACTTTTGCGCCACCCTGTAGAATATGGCCAAGAACGAATTTGTAGCTAAGAACCAGGGCAAAAGAATGAGAATATTGTTTTCAAAAAATATATTATTCCTGAAAAGCTGCATAATATTGCAGTAACGTACTGATATTTTGTTTTCTGAACATTTTTACATTAGGATTAACTGTTTTGTTCAAAACTTCGGAGTGTATATTTCATATTTTATTCTCACATCCTCTTTCACAATCACATGTTGATAGTAATCTTAACGGCACCATATTTTAAAATTTTTTGTCATGTGGTCCTTGCTTTCTATTCTCCTTCTTCCTGTACATGAGTCATATTTTTTTCGTCTTTTTACATTATACGCATAAAACATAATGTATTCTGATTCATTTTGCCTCCTCCTTATTTTACTCATTTCGTTCTATTTTGTACGAGATATATTTGATATTACTCATTGAAAAGGTAATTCGCAACGCAATAAATACTCAAGAACCTCTAAAATAAATACACTCATTGCATATTCTCAACGCATATTATAGACAAATGGGCAACAGTAGTAGTAAGAAACATAGTAAAACTGGTGAGTGCTTTTTATTTTTTGAGAATAATCATTGAATAGATGTTTATTAAATGAATTATTCAGCTTATATTCCATCGGGAACGGTGAACTCGACAAGGCGTAAGAACCATTCGAGAAATTTGGCAAATCAAGCCGTTCTGATGTCAACTATAGCAGCCAATTCAACAGCTATGTCGGCAACGGCATCTTGTTGTGATAGTGGTGTTTGTAACGCTGGAGGAGGGTTCGGATGTTAATGATTCGTTTCTTTTTCATTTGTGCTTATATAAAAATAAAAGCTTTCGTAAGAAACCAACATGGTGATCTTTCTCGTGAGTTTCAGTGTCTTTCTGACCTTTCAGCTACCAATTATTTCGACATTTTCTGTCAATTGATTTACAAGTTCCATTTGTCGAAAAAACAATATAGAATAGGCAAGAAAGGCATCGAACACGATCAATGCTACAAATGAATATCGTCCATCGAAGCACGATGGAATTCTTCACAATCAATCGAAGTACTCTTAGGACAATTATTTATGCCACTCAACTTCAGTTCATCACTTCGATTGAGATAATCAATCATTAAAATTGACAATGAACATAATGTTGCATTTTCGGCTATTAAGAGAGATGAGGATATATATTCAAATAAACATTGTCTGTTTGTTATATGTTTGAATTCTAATAGACATATTGATGCTGCTGATAAAAATGCAATATTAACCTGTGTCATTGACGACATACAACTATGTGCAATTAAACGCTTGACATTCGATCAGAAGCTTGATGTTAATCTAAGATTATTATCGACACGAAATAATTCATTATCTCAAACTGAGAAAAAACTTCCTATCTGCGCTAGTCTGTCAAGCAGAAGTTTTACACTATGATCGAATCATTTCATTCAATGGCATCAATATTGAGAAGAACTCTTCAGGAATTTAATGAACGCTGCAAGGTCGATCGTAATCCTCTACTACAGTGAATTGTTTGTAGCCCGGCTACATATAAATATTACAAATCGAGGAACTTGTGTTTGGACAATAATCTTTCAAGTGTGAAATATCTACAACTAGTGAAAGACACTCTACGTAATAATCACTTCAATCGTGTGTTGTTTCAAATTGAGATTGATGTTCGTTTACTGACAGAATATTTAGCTAATATCGAAGGAATTAGTTAGTATCCAAAAGAATGATAAATATTATTTTTGTTTGTATCCATATTTCGCATCCACAATATTGTTTACAACAATCGATATGCATTGTGGGTATTAGATTTGAATCTTTGTAGTGATGATGATTTTAAATTAAAAGAGGATTTTACTTATCTGAAAACCGATATTGGAGGGAAGACATCTATGGTGACATCGGGCAATCTTTTCCTTGAAATGGGTGAACATGATAAAGCTGAAAAAATATTTCTATGAGTTGGGTGTGGGGTGTCGGGGTGTCGAGGTGTGGGGGTATGGGTGTAGGTGGGACTGAGTGTGTAGTTGTGAGTGTTTTAGTTCATAAAGACGTACACCCCAGGCTCACACCCACACCACCCAT